CTCAAAGATGCTACAAGATCTCTCTACATTACTGATTCTACATACTAACATGGCTATATCTTTGAATTCTATCACATGTTCAATGTATGTGTATGGAGCAGATGTTGAAAATTTTACTTTTGGAGGCTGTAGCTCTCAAAATCCTACAACCAATATGACCAGTGGCATAGGAACTGTAGTCCAAAAATGCAGTTCTTCCAAGCTGTGGTAGGAGAAGCTGTCACTATCAATGACTGGTATTTTCTCATGAAGTTGGTTGTAACTATTGTCTGGTATTGACTTAGGGACTAATGACTACCAGATAGGTTGCCGCTGCGCTTGACATAGGGATTTCTGTTTTGGTCCTAACACTGTATGATGAGTGTGGTGTTTTGGTTGCTGACATGCCATCTCTTGTCCTTTCTAGGATGCCAGTTCACACCAGCACTGAAGTAAAGAACCAATGGCAGTCATCTTGTCCAGACACATGATTTGGAAGTCTATGTTATGCCAAAAACCAATAAATCAATCTGGCCCAACATCCTTCATTGCCTTTACTAATAGTTAAATGTACAGAAATCAGCAGGTTAAAGGCATACAGAGAAAAGTATTAGCACCCTTATGCCTGCAGGTAAAGCTGCTGTTAAAAATACACATTCAGGAGCCAGTAAAGAAAATGAGATGTCTAAGGGGGGTTGCAGACTGCCAGAAATAGTGCAAATTGAGTTCACTGTTAGGGTTAGGGTTAGGGTTAGGGTTAGGGTTAGGGTTAGGGTTAGGGTTAGGGTTAGGGTTAGGGAATCATGGGAACTGTATTTTATTGTGGCACCAGAGCTCTCTGACAGAGAAGGCTCAATGTCTCAGAAAAAAACCAATGCCCATGATTCCCTAGCACTAACCCTAACCCTAAAAGTGGACTCAATTTGCACTATTTCTGGCAGTCTGCAAAGAGGGACATAAGAGAACTGGATTATAGAATACAGTAAACTGCTTGGAGTCATAAGAACCAAAAAGGTTCTGGCTCTTATACTTATCTACCTACCTAGATGCCCTCTATAACTAGTATGGAAACAGAATGAAAACTATTTTAAATATTGTTTTTATTCATGCAAATGTTCAAAATTCACACTAAACTTTCTTTAATTGGGCTGTAGCATTGTGGGATACTTATTACTAAATATATACTAAACTGCTAGACAAAAATACTAAATACCCAGATTCCTAAATGACAGAAAGCAACCGTTACACTTTCTCTGCATGATTATGATTCAAGAATACAAATCAAAAGTTATGTTTGAAATTGAAATCAAATTGTGGAGGCAGCTCTGAAATGTTAGTGTAAAAGCTTGAACTTACATGTAGGATAGGTATGTACAGTTGCTGTCACAGAATTATATTGATAAATAGGGCAGGGCTAAAGACTTCCCAAGGAGAAACCTTAAACATCACTTGGTTGCAAAGGAGCTGACACTGATACAGGCAGAAAGTGCATTAGTGTCTCCCAGAACAATATATCTTTTACACTTCTCCTTTTAAAACTGTTAAAGGAAAATCTAGCAGAAATGGTTTTGCACACATGGCTGTAAATTTTACAATGCTTTACCATATGTTCCATTTCCCCCTATTTAGCTTTAATGGAACTGAAGACGGTGCTAGCAAGAACTGTATTTTTTGAGATGACTGAGATTTCTGCTTTTTAAAAGAAAGTAGGCCCAAGCCCAAACACTAGGTATGTGTACACCCAAAGATCAGCTCCATTTACCAGAACACGATAAGAGCCTTGTTAGAACAGACCAAGGACTATCTAATCTAGCATTCTATTACTATACAGTCGTCCTTCCCAATTCATGGTCTTGCCGTCTGTGGTCTTGATCCTTTGTGGACAGCAAGCTGAGAGGGACATAATGGTGTGCGTGCCTGAGGCGCACACGCAGGAGCGTACCCCCATTGTAATCAATGGGGCTCCAATATTGGTGATTTTCCCAATTTGCAGGGAGGGGTCCAGAATGGATCCCCCTTGAATTGGAAGGGACGACTGTAGCCAATCAGATCATACCCTCCAACTTATAAAAACATACCAGAATTGCTAACAAATCATCCTCTGCCACTGACAATTTTGATGTTACATTTGTCTAAATAATAATTCACTTCTTATACTATTTTTTATTTTTATTGCATAAAATATTTTAAACAGTATATCAAATAGAGTAAAAAAAAGGATCCACAATTAGGGCATGATCAATTAATATAATAATAAAGCTAGTTTTTCTTGTCTTCTGTCCCTTCAGGTTCCTTAATTATATCCTGTCTACAATATTTCTGTATTTCCCCCCATTTCCTTTCATGTTGTTGAGATGTTTTCCCTGCAGAGTACATAGATAGTCTGTCCATTACTGCTAATTTGTTTAATTTTACTTCCCATTCCTGTGTAGTAGGTATTTTGTCAGATTCCCGATTTCTTGCGTACACCACTCGTGCCACTTCCTATACTATTAAGGTTATTTAGAATAATAGCATCATTGAGTTGGCTATCCAGTCCACCCTTTGCAGCACAGGAATATACAATCAAAGCACTTCTGGCAGGTTGCCATTCAGCCTCTGTTTAAAAACCTCCAAAAGAGGAGACTCCACCACACTCTGGGCAGCATATTCCACTGCTGAACAGCTTTTACTGTCAGGAAATTCTTCCTAATGTTTAGGTGGAATGTCTTTTCCTGTAGTTTGAAGCCATTGCTCTGTGTCCTAGCCTGTAGACCAGCAGAAAACAAACTTGCTCCATCTTCAGTATAATAATAATAATAATAATAATAATAATAATAATAATAATAATAATAATAATTTATTTGTACCCCACCTTTAGCCAAGGCTATCAAGGCGGCTTACATATAAAATCAATCACAAAACCCAAAAAATACAACAAGCATATAACCCCCCCCCTTAAAAATGACGCCCCTTCGAAGTTCCTCTGTAAATCACAAACTGCATCTATTTGAGATTATCCAGTTATTTGAGATTATCCAGTAAATTAGAGAGCTAGATTGGAAACAATAGAATTAAATTTTATAAAAACAAATGTAAACCATTTTACATTGCAATGAAAAAGAAAAAAATGTGTAATACAATGAACAAGGGAAAGCTTTCTGTGTTGTAATTTTGCTGAATAATAAGTCCATGCAGTAAATGCAGTGATGTTGAGAAAAGGGGATGAAATGTGACATCTTGTGTTGTGTTCAGTTTTCTTCAACTGTCTAGACTGTTTGAGGATAATGGAAATTGTAATCAATCCACTTTTAGGACACTAGATGGGAGGAAGCTGGGGAAAAAACAGTATATACAAGTAGAACCGCATCACCACAAAATACAACAGATGCTTGTGTTAAAAACTTGCAAACAGTAACTTATAGGTGTAGATAAACCCCAAGAGAGAGTCAGTTGCAAAATTTAAACGGAAGTACAGTACAATACATCTCACCATCATGAGGAAGACTTTCACCAGATGAGTTTGTATTTGCTGAGTCTGATATCCAGGTTCCAAATGCTGACAAGCAGTTTCAAGATACCTACCGCTCTCACTTCTAATGGTTTATCAAAGAATCATAGAATCATAGAATCATAGAGTTGAAAGAGACCACAAGGGCCATCCAGTCCAACCCCCTGCCATGCAGGAACTCCCAATCAAAGCATCCCTGACAGATGGCCATCCAGCCTCTGCTTAAAGACCTCCAGGGAAGGAGACTCCACTACTCTCCGGGGGAGTGTGTTCCACTTTTGAACCGCCCTTACTGTCAGGAAGTTCCTCCTGATAGAAGCTGATAGAGGATAATCCCTTATAAAAGAGACCACAGTAGCATGTATACAGCTGATCTGAAAAATAATACAAATTGGAAGTGAAGGTATCAAAAGAGGAGTAACAAAGGTCTCATTCCCCTCCTCATAAATGTATGCAAAAACATTGAAAATACAGGAAGAGTTCATCTTCAATTACAATTAACGAAGGATCTTTGAGTACCAAAACATACGTGGCTTGCTGAATCTGTTCAGCATTGCTCTTGATGACTCTTCAAGCCATACCAGCTCTCTCAGAATCCTCTTGACCTTTCAGCTCAAAGCTAACTTTTGTACCTTATGCTTCTGGAAAATATTTGCAGTGTAAATTGGAATCCTCATTTTTTTTCCTCCAAGTCTTTTCTAGCCATTTTGAACATGTATGTGTTTATCCTCTAGATCTGATAGTTAACACAAAACCCTTCTTCCTTGCATAATGATTAGATTTTAATTTTGCCACCAACTTCCTTATAGTCTTACAGTATACAGCAAATCTTATAATATTGTAATTTAAAGATATAATCTTAATTTTGCTATTTATTTATGTCACAAGTATCACCATTACACTCAGTGATATACAGGAATTACAATGTATAGGTAACATTAGTACAAAAAACATTACTACAGATTCTGTATAAGTATGGTATGGGAAGAGATCAATGGGGAGTGACACTATGAGTTACCACACTGGGTGACGCTAACCCTATTGATGCCACCATGTGGATGCATACATATATATGCACACACACACCCCTTGAGTATATTATTTGTTACCGAGATGGCAGTATTTCTTTTCAACCATGACAAGAACAGTTGATGAGGGCTAGAAATGTAGCCTCCTTAACCTCTGGCAGCTGCCCAACCCTGATCTATAGGACTGTCCTGTTATCTAATTAATTCAGATGATGCCTGATACAAATAGATCTCGGACTGTAGTAAGACATGCTAACATGAAAAAGCTATTACTGTTCTCACTTTGAAATTATCCAGTCTTCACATAGAAATGCTAAGTAGTATAGCTATACCCAGTGTTCTCATTTAATCAGAATCAGGTGTCAGTGCTGCATTATTCTGGAACATATTCAGAAGCCCCAATTGGCTTTCCTAGGCTGTCCAGTCATGGCATTGATTACAGAGTTTGAGAAAGTGTTTTTGTGTTTTTTTTTAAAATATGGTGACTATAACAAGAAATGAGAGCCAGAGTGGTATAGTAATTTGAGCATTGGACTACAATTCTGGAGATCAGGGTTCAATTCCCTGCTCAGCCATGGAAACTCATAGTGACCATAGGTCGGAAATGACTTGAAGGCACACAGTGACAATAACAAAAAATGTGGTTAGGGAAGGTTTTGAGTTGTAGTCCATTAATTGGGACTATTTCCCCTGCATTTGTTTGGAAATGGTTTTACAGGGCCAGGTCAAACACTATACATCCGACCCACGCTTTGCTGTTGACAGCTCTGATTTTACAAGTTAAACACTAGAAGATATCTGTTTCACTGACATGGAAAAAGTCATTAGTATCTTTTAACTTTATTTGATGAGCCAGGAGGCTAGCATCTCATTGCGAGTAGTCTTTCATTTTTGGCAGTAAGTCGTATTGAGGGAGGATAGATATATGAAGAATCAGGCAGGCAAGAAATGAAAAGAAAAGGCCAGGCAAGTAAAAGTAAAAGACATTACAGTCACTCCCCAGGATAAAAACAAAAGCTAGCACTAAAACAAAACAAAAATGAATAGCATTTTATCTTCCTCTGACACATGCACACAAAAAGATTTATATTATTTATTGGCATGGTTGACAGAAACTGAAAGTAAAGGGGGATGTTATACAAACTCTGAAAAGAGTAAGCAATTAAAGCAAGACAGCTGTTACTCAAGTCTTTCCCAGTCTCTCTGGAACACGGCTCATATTGCAGCCCGAGTGCATGCTGCTTCTCCTTGGCTTGTGGCCATTGTTTATGCCACAGCCAAACAGGCCTCAATCTGAGTTTAGCCTGAAGGAGAGAAGGAAACAAATTTTGTTACTTGGACTGTATTTTAGAAACACTGAGTCATGACACAAATTTTGAAGACTTTATATGCAACTCTCTGCTAGAAAAGAAACCAGTTCAAGGGAAAAAGTAGTTTGGAGAATCTAGTGGTGCGGCAAGATCCATTTCTTTATCTTTTGCCAATGTGTAAGGCACCTAGGGAACATGTGTTGTTTGGAAGCCATATAAACATCACCACCACCACCATGAACCATAGACTCTGGCAAGAAGTAGGCACATTTCAACAGTCCAATCTGTTTTATGCTGAAACTGGGTATAGTTCCAGGCTTCCCCAAGACTTTATTCAGTGCTGAACACTGACATATGTTACTGCTATAAGACAAGCTTTATTGATGCTACCATCAAATGGTATACAGTAGAGAAGCATTCCAGACCTTTCGCTATTGGGATCTAGCATCCCCTCACAACCAATGGTCGAATGGGTCCTTAAATAACCAATTCCACCCAGACTATCCCCAATTGGCAATTAAATTCTCCATAGTTGGCTATACAGAGCCCATAGGTGGATACACTTCTTCTCCAGGGCAAGGCTGATGGAAGATGGACTCCCAAGGATGTTAACAGAGTACAGAAACATAGTATACAAGTATGCCCCCCCCCCCTCTAAGCTAAGAGAATTGTGCATGCAGGTTAGTAACAGAGGAATATTCATTCATGCAGTCCATTCTCAGCTTTCATATCAACCTCAAATTGCCAAACTATGCAAAAAGTATCAAACAAAGGGCCTTTACAGACTGCCAGAAATAATCCAGCTTGAGACCACTTCAACTGTCCTGGTTCAATGCTAGGGAATCAAGGGAACTGTTGTTTTTTCTGAGACATTGAGCCTTCTCTGTCAGAGAGCTCTGGTGCCACAATAAACTACAGTTCCCATGATTCCCTAGCACTGAGCCAGGACAGTTAAAGTGGTCTCAAGATGGATTATTTCTGGCAGTCTGCATAGGCCCTAATACAAATTGACCCTTTCTATAGCAGAGGGCAGCTGTTAATGTTTGGTCATGATGCTAAGAAGAACTCCAAAACCAATCTGCATAATGGCAGAGGTCCAATCCACTATTACTTGTATTTATTCAGACATCTCACTGAAGACCTTCAGGAATATGTGGTTTTTAAACTAGCAGAGTGCACCAGGAGAGTCCTGTGAGGTTATGGCTACAAAACAGAAGTTACTACTCTGGATGCTAGGAGTGAGGCAAAAATAGAAACCTTTTGTTTATCACTTCAAGGAATTCATTCAAAGAGTACAGAGTCCCTAAACATTGCCACAGAAGTCTTTTACACTGGTTTCTCTGTGTACAGTTGTGTGAGGTAGCCTTTATGAAGACTCTAGGTCAGCGGTCGGCAACATTAACATACCTGGGGCCGGTCGCTGGTCCCCAGGTCTTCCGCCGGGCCGGGGGGGGAATGGCGGTGCGCATGTTCATGCAGCGTGCGCGCACCCCTGCCATCGCCAGCCACCGCCACCGTGCATGCTGCTGCCGCTGCACCACCCCACGCGCCACGGCCGCCATTTTGTTTGCCAAAATGGCGGCTGCGACTCATTTGCGCATGCACAGTATTCCTGCGCATGCGCAAACAAGTTGTGGGCACTATTTTGGGAAACAAAATGGTGGTCGTGACACGTACGGCAGTGACAGCATCTGGCGGTGGCAGCGGGGGTTGTTGATGGGGTTGGGGGTCGGCGGGGGCTGGTCGGTGGGCCGGGTGCGGCCCGTGGGCCATAGGTTGCCAACCCCTGCTCTATGTGCTCCCCATCGGTCTAACTGGGAGGAGGAGAAGGAGAAGGACTCTGGGACAAAGGGGGGAGGGCTCATACCCCCAAAGACTATGTTGAACCCCCTCCCCAATGATCTGGCAAAACTAGACCACCAAAAGGCTATGTAGTTAAGTCTCCTCAGGACTTATCAATCAGAAGTGTACTAAATGATCAAGCACTAAGAAATATTAAGATAGCTGTAGTCATTGAGCCCTCCCAGGAATCATAAAGTCAACCTGCAATCTTTCCAGTGCATACTTACTTGGGAGCAAGCTACATGGAACACCTGTATGCATTCTGCTTACAAGAGTCTTAATATTTAAAGATATTTCAGTAATAATGGATGGGGAAAGTAGGCAAACTATAATAACAATCTGCCTGACATTGTTAAGCTTCTCCCATTAAAAAGAGTTCTGGTGCCCCAGAAGGAAGAGGAAGAGGAAAAGACTTCAGAGGAAGAAAGTCAATCCTAAGTTTAGCAATATATACATGGTTCTAGAAATATATGAGATGAAAAACCAATGATACCTGTCTGTGCTACTGGTTCAGTCTACTTGCTACAACATTGGTGCATTAATTTTATCAAGAACAAGATCTATATTTTTAGCACTCTGCTTTCTGCAGTGTCATGCCAGGGAGAAGTTGCTTGCTTAAAGAATTTAAGGGGGAAAATGGAGCTGACTTCCTCTGAAGTCTGGTGTGGCTAGGCTACATTTCAATTAATTTTTTGTTTGCTTGCTTTTTAATATAATTTATATGCCTTCTTTTTTCATGGAAGTTCAATATTTACATGGTCTCACATTACAATCTCCTGAGAGGAATTTAGACCATAGCCAAGTCATGCTAAAGGTGATGCAGGTTTCACAAATATTTGTCTGTTCCTTGTATAGTGCACTAGTTTATCCAGGACTGTAACCATCAGCATACTTAGCCAATGCTTGAATGGTTATAAATGAGTCCATAGCAAATTTATTAACTTGAGATATGCGTCCATCCCAAAGGGTGATACATCTCTTAGCTGTAAAAATAACTTTTGTTCAGGGGCTTGTAGTATTAATTATTTTGTGCGGGGAAACCCTACATGTAAGCATTAAGGTACATTTCAGAAACAGTTCCATTTTAAATGTACAGCTATTATATAATAGGAACTAATTCATTGATGGAGGAACCTTGGAGTTATAACTATAACTAATTCCTTTCAGAAGCGAATTTCTGTGCCTGGTATTGCCCCATGTGGCTTGGTACAGACTATCTGAAAGACTGTTGTTATCTCCCTATAAGAACCTGCCTGGATCCTAAGATCTTTAGGGAGAAAGCTTCCTTTCTTCCCCACCACCATTACAGGTATGGTTGGTGAGGACAGAGGTGAGAGCAGTGGCATCCCTAGGGTTGGTGTCACCCGGTGTGGTAACTGATGGTGTCACTACCCCTCATTGACCTCCTCCCATACCACTCCATGCAGAATCCTTAGTAATGCTTTTTTGCACTAATGTCACTCATAAATCATAATTCCCATATACCACTGAATGTAATGCTAATAGCTGTGACATAAACGACTAGCAAAATTAAAATTATGCCTTCAAATTACAATATCATACACACACCCTCAATGTATTTACATATACATAGTGAAGATTTGGTTAAAATGTGAT